GTACAACCTCAAGCTCCAAGTTTGTATCGTAAATTTTCTCAATTGATTCATTGATGCTGCCTTGGACTGAATGTCAGTCTAGAGGGAGAAAAAAGGGGAGTCACGATTGTCTGCGCGCGACATGGTTATCGAAGCCCGAAGATGGGGATTTTGATTCAGACAATAAAACACGTTAGAGAAGCGTTGAAATCGGTGGAAGGATGGGTGAAGATTGGTATCGGTGGTGGATGATCATTTGCGTGGAAGATGGTAATAATTGCAGGCTTCAAAGTTTTGTCATTGCAACAATGGCGGGGATCAAAGTCTCAAATCAATTTGGAAAGGAGGAACTGTTGGGGATGAATGGTGAGAATGAGAGAGACGACAGTGATCAAAGAATAGGGCGGAATCCAAAAGTAAAAAAGAGGGATCGAAGATAATCTTGACCTTAGTGCCGAAGGCAATCTAGCGGTGCGGCTCAAGGATTGATCACCTTCAGAATCGCAAGCAGAGACGACCTCCAACTGTTGCGGCTGTGGAAACAGTAATGATTGAGCCGAAGACTCAAATGGAGACTGGATTAGAGGAAACAGCTGGGACAGAGAGCTCGCAGACGAGGACGTTGCGGCAATGGCAAAAATCGATGGGGAGATCATCGACGAGTCGAAGCCCACGGCGGAAGCAGCTCGCAAGGTGCGGGGCGAGAGGATGAGGATGGGTGTTGATTAATTATTTCTTTTTTTAATCTTAATTTTTTTTGAAATTGACATGTCATTAAGTTAACAGTCAAGTCAGCAGTTCAGTTTGTCACGTCATCAATAAACTGACGGAGTTAACAGAGATTGACAGTCGGTGACTAACGGTGAAACAATTCGTAAAGTTAATGACAAATAAGAAAGAAAAGTGGTTCGAGTGGCAAACATGTAAGAGTATGTAATTTGGGTGACCAAACATGTAATTTAGCCATTATAAAATGCATGATCGATTTGATTATTTTATACACGTTCAGTGCATATATATATATACATTTTAGATATATATTTCTTTATTTTGGCGCCTCCGTCGCCACTACCTCACTGCAAACACGCAAGCAGAGATCTCAGTCACTTACTCTCTCTCATCTGTTCTCTGGACTCAGCGTCCAGCTTTCTCCAATCCAATCGTCAAATCTTTCCTTTGGATTGGATGGAGCGGGACGGCCATCGGTATCTTCTTCCTCATCTCATTGATTTCGGTGTTTGCAAATTTAATTTCGACGCCCTTCTTCCTCCAGCTTTTTGGCGCTCTTACGCTCCCTCCCGCATTTACTCTTGCACACTCCAACTCGCCTTTTCATTCGACCAATTCTCTGTTCTGGGTTTTCATCGAACGGTCGCTCTCTCTCACTCTCTGCACCTTTTGGGTCCATCTGATCTCCGACTCCAAACATTTGGATGGCTTCTTTCCTCCCCTCCCCTTTCCTAACTAAGCTATCTCTGGGTTTCTCTGCAACATAAGCAATCCTTCTTCCTCACTCCAACTACTGGGAGTTTTTGCGGCGTTTAATCTTTGCCCACACTTACTGCGAACTGGGTCAACACTCAACAATGGCGGTGATAAGCAAACCTCTCGTCTTCACTTATATCTACCTTCTGATCTACATCCTCCTCTCATCCGGAGTCATTCTCTACAACAAGGTATACACACTTGCCCTCTCCTTGCATGTCTTGTTATGCACAACTTTCTGAATCCTGCCTGCTGACACTTTCCATGTTGCAGTGGGTTCTCTCGCCCAAGTATTTCAACTTCCCCTTCCCCATCACCCTCACTATGATTCACATGGCATTCTCCGGCATGGTTTCCTTCTTCCTCGTCCGCGTTTTCAAGGTCTGCCTAGCATCCTCCCATTCCTTTTCTTTTTTCTTCTCTTCTATTTTGGAGCGTCGCACTGTCATATGCTCACTACTGCTACTGTTTGCTTGAGTTTCTGCGCTTCCAAGTTGATAGGAAAACCTTGTATGGTCTATATGCATTGTTCTTGCTTGATGATTGTTATTGCCATTGCCTGATTACTTACTTTTGGGGAGAAAAGAAGAAGAAAGCACATATCCTTCTGAATGCTACACAATCCCCAAGTTGCCAAGCATACCCTCAACTTTGTTTTCCCATATTCCTCAAGGGCAAATTTTGCTTAATCCTGGTCTTGAATTTCCTTGTTTTCTTGATTATGTTTGATATCTTTTTATTCCTATTTCGTTTGTGCACACTGTAGCTCTTACATTCTGTCTCTATTTCGTTTGAATATGTGCAGGTTGTGTCTCCTGTCAAAATGACCTTCGAAATGTATGTATTTTCTTTCTGAATTTTCTCATGATTTTGAAGCCCCTTTCATTTCCAATCTTAACTTTTCACCCCCTGGTGTTGCAGTTATGTCACTTGTGTCATACCCATAAGTGCCTTCTTCGCTGCGAGTCTTTGGTAAGATTGGAAATGTTATTGCTTTGTATATTCTGTTACATGAAACTGAGTAACTCTTCAGGCTGCTCCATTGCCTGAATATTGCAACATATTCTGCATGATCATAATTTGCTAAGTAGTAATGTTAATGCAAGTTAGGTGAGACAAACAGTCCTGTTGTGCATTGCATTACCTGAATAACGAGATTTCATTACTACACTATCATGGTCAAAACTCAGATCCTTATTTTGAAGTCTGCGACTTCCATGTTCAGCAAAACTATATGTTCAAAATGTCATTTGATGTCTCATGTCTTGAACCTTCTATTTTTGTATAATAAGCCCGTCATATCCTTATGATTTAACTTCAAACTTCTGATGCCTATGCACTAATTTATGATATGCAGGTTTGGCAACACTGCTTATTTATATATTTCAGTTGCCTTCATCCAGATGCTTAAGGCTTTGAGTAAGTGGATTCGAAGTGTGGTAACTTTATTCTCTGTCTAAATGATCTCTTTTGTTTGATCTAACTTCCTACGTGCTCATCTAGTTGGTGATTTTGCCTTTGCAGTGCCAGTGGCAACTTTTATAATGGCTATTATGTGCGACACTGACAAAGCAAGGTGTGACGTGTTCTTAAACATGTTGGTGGTCAGTGTTGGAGTTGTTGTTTCCTCGTATGGGGAAATCCATTTTAATGTAGTTGGCACAGTTTACCAGGTGACTGGCATCTTTGCAGAAGCTCTTAGGCTGGTATTAACTCAAGTTCTTCTACAGAAGAAGGGCTTGACCCTGAATCCTATCACTAGCTTATACTACATAGCTCCATGCAGGTACTATACTTATTATGATGCCTTGGGTCTGGCTTTCCCATGTGGCATATGTCTACCTGATCTTACACTATCTTCATCTTAAAATTATTTTACTTTCCAAGTTACTGATTTTCTACTTGTATTCGTCTTGTTTGCATTTATGTGATTCCTATACCGACTACCGAGTTCCTACCTCTTTAACTGGATAAATAATGACTGCAACTCTCTGGCTTTCGGTCACCTCTTTTCCAATGAAATTTGAAGTAGGTTTGTTTGAGTTTATATTAATGGAGAAGAATCTTAATACTTTGTAATATTACTCCAACTTTGTGGTGTTTGGCTGGACTTTGTGCTTAGAAAGTTAGAAGACAAGGAGAAGAAAAGCTGTGGTATGCAGTTGATATTCTGCTGTCTTATAAACAATCAGTGGAAAATTATGTTCAGATGCTATGTTGGATTATTAAGTCATTATAGTTTAAACTTGTATCCTTAAATCTGAGCTGCTCACTCACATAACTCTATTCTATTCTATGCATGCAGCTTTGTGTTTCTGTTTGTTCCTTGGTATTTACTGGAGAAACCTGGGATGGAAGTCTCACAGATTCAGTTCAATTTTTGGATTTTCTTTTCCAATGCACTCTGTGCATTAGCCTTGAACTTCTCCATCTTCTTAGTGATTGGAAGAACTGGAGCAGTCACCGTCAGGGTTGCTGGTGTACTGAAAGACTGGATACTGATTGCCCTTTCAACCGTCATATTTCCTGAGTCTACTATAACTGTCCTGAATATAACTGGTTATGCAATTGGTAAGTATTGTGTACTCCTAATAGCCATCTTTGAGGAATTCTAACATGTCCCTCTTGTTAGTTCATGTGTATTGGTTTTATGTGATTTGATTTCCTCTTGTGCAGCTCTTTGTGGTGTCGTGATGTACAACTACTTAAAGGTTAGGGATGTCCGTGCATCTCAGCTCCCTGAAACTGCTACTGAAAGAATGGCAAAGGTTTATACTTGCTCTCTGTTCTACATCAATGATTTTCACTAGGGGTGGTTTACTGGCTTAACAAATTAACCATTAGACACCTATGTTAAATGTAACTGAACCGTCCACAAACCAATAATCCTAACGATTCTCCAATATCTGATTCAAATGTAATGACTGGCATAAACTGTTCATGTTTTTTGGGTGCACTTCGCTGAAATTCGATTATTCCTAATCAGCCTTGGTTGAGTTTCTGCAACCCCTAATTGTCACTAGGGTTTTTACTGGAAAACTCGATTCTACTTGCCAGCTTGTTGATTGATTTTTGTGTGGTCAACAGGACTGGAAGCTGGAGAAATCTTCTGATATATATGTGCCTAATAACGGAGGTAATGGCAGTGGAGAAGCAAACACATTATCGTTCTCCGATGGGAAGGATGAGGAAGCACAACCTCTAATTACATCCTCAAGATCGTTTCACATTGGACGCTCATTCGCAGACTAGTATTCATACTGGATGAACCGACTCCCTTTTACTCCATTGTCCGAACATTGTTGCGGTCAGTAGTACTATTGCTTGGCATGGCAGTTTTAGGAGCATATTTCAGCACAGATAGGGGTTGTAGCAGCAGTCTGGTTATTCTTCTTTAGATACTTGCGTACTCCTGTTATCGATTGCAAATCTATTGAAAGTTTTTAGCTACTGCACTTCGTCTACGGTCTACCCATCCCACACGTTTGTATACCATTACCAACAATGTCAATCAGTTTAAAAAATGAAACAAGAACTTCGTCCAATTACCTAATCGCAATTCATTAATGATTTCAGCCGAGTGTATTTGTGCTTCGTCCAATGAATGATATGTGAGAACAGAAGAGAATACAACCAAACAATAGCTCGCACAAGAGTACGTAGCATATATGCTTCGAGAACAAACCCAGTAAGAAGTAAGAACCTTTACCCAACACAGAAAGAAACAATCAAACTCAGTAAATGCCTTGTCTTGCCTCAGAAACACACCTAAAAGTAGCTATATAAGTGGTGTACAGTGAAAAAGAATACAGGACATGACGGATCTCGGATACTTCAACAAATATAGTACACAAACAATCTCCAAACGAAATATGCACATCTCATGCAAAGTAAAACAATCAAGAATGGGGTTGCATAGCGCCAGTAGCAAGCCGGATTCTTCCTTCCGCTCCCAAACTAATCATGATGGTATCCGTGGATGGGAATGTCTGTTCTTCTGTATTTCTCAAAAGGATGAATGAATATACTCTTACAGATTTTGAGAATCCCTTAGATATAAAAGTTTCCTGGCCGGGGCTGGGGGTGCCAGTCCAGGAATGTCTCTGATGTCCTTGTTGTTTGGGTTGACAATCTGGAAAGTCAAAACACAATCAAGAAGTTAAATATAGTCCATAGTCAACCGAAAAAGAGGCAAGGGCTCTAGGATGTCTCATGTGTGCGGCTAATGCAAAGGCTTCAAGAAAGGAAACAAATATTTTAATCTAGAGGTGCCTCAAAGGCAATAAGACAAGATGTCATTTAAAGTGTTCCAGAACGCAACATTAAGATTTTAAAGCTCCAGACCTTTCAGAAAGCTTGATTTCTTTTGTACCAGCTAAGCTTTTGTGCATATGTAGGTTCAGAGACAGAATTTGTTAACAATCACTATCTTTGTGTTTAAGGTAACAGCCAAAGGACATTTCAAAATTCACTTCGGGAATCAAAAGTACCCCTACGTTCCTAAAGTGCTTGATATCAAGGAAGAGACAGAATTAGGCTGAAGTTCTGAACTACTATCCAAAAGAAATAAAACCTGAAGTTCTAAAGAATAGTCTAGCAAGGACATTCAGTATTCAACATTGGAGGTTCAAAATCAAGAAGGGTTACGAACTGTGAAGTAAATTGAGATGAAGTGAAGTACCTTCACAATGATTATTGCTATTACACCACACACAATAAGAACCAGGAAAAGCATAATGCATTTATCGGTTGCCACCTGCAAAGTAATTAGGCCTTTAACTTATGAAAAAACTTGAACAAAACGGGCGAAAAAAGAAACAGATAAAGTCAATACAAATAAGGCATTGGGAAATCTACATACCTGCCTCCCAATCTCCTTCACCAGCTGCGAGGCCTTCTTAATTGAAAACTGAATTGTGTCCAGCTCGTTAACAATTCGTTCCATTTGCTCAGTCTGGCAAAACAAGCAGGTATAAAGAAAACTGATTTTGCAAGGACTGGAGGGAAAGATTGAAAAAAAAAAAAACAAGGATCAGTGGAGATCATGCTTACTTGGCCTTTTAAAGTAACAGCAGTTTGAGTGCCCACTTCTACTGTTTGTTGAACAACCTAAGTAACAAAACTATGATTAGCAAGGAACTATTACAAGAGACTAGAGAGCAACAAAAAGAGTATTGCTATGGGCTTAAACCTTTTTGGAGCGCTCAATGGCCTGATCAGTCTCATCCATTGTCTTCATCCCAGCATCAACAAGTTCTTGATTTGACATAGCTAGAAGTCATGGATACAAATGGCTAATTTAGGATGTTATCCTAACTAAATAAATATGGGCATAAGTGCAAGAGCCTCATATGTGTTACAGTTTGTATGCTCTAGTAGAACAAAAAATACACCCTGAAAAGAAATATGAAGTCACCTGATGCCATTCGAGCATTGTCTTCTGGCATCGGTTCACTGGCCCCAGCTCCCGTATCAAACAGTTCAACCCTCTTGTTAGTACTCATGTACCTGCAGTATCCCTCTCCTCGTATCAGAGTCCAAAAACTCGAAACCACCATACAAGGGGTAAAACAAGCATGGAAGGTAAGGGCTTACGTTTTCCTCAAGGCCACATAGGAATTCAGCTCTTTAACCTACAACAGTGGCAAATGGTGAAGTCCCATTCTAGGGCTGCTAAGCCCAGAAGTTAACAAACACAGTGCGGAACATATTGACCGAGTTATGAAGAAAAGGAAGACTTGGAAACACAGACCATGGATTGTTTTTCGTCATTAAGTTGCTTAGTGACCTCAGGTGGATTTCTGGTTGCCTCATCTTTGATTTCACTTTCAAACTCCTTAATCAATCTGCAGATAGCATTGTTGTGGGAAGGAGTGAGCGAAGTTTAAAATGGCACAAACACACAAGACAAGTGTTTGATACTACATGCTATACCTTTTGCACTCTCTCATCCTGCCTGTAAGTTCCTCGAGCTGTTTACTCTGTCGATTAGAATCTTTAATCTTATCAAGCCTCTGGAACCCATTTCTGCGAATTCGAAATCGTATAAAATCAAGGACAAGCGAGCAAACAGTTATGGGCAATACGACCCATCAAGGGGAACATCAATTAGAACAACGCAATACAGATAAATGCAGTAGAAAGGAGCGGAGAGATGGCATCTGCGAGCCCCAAAAGAGGGAAACAAAAAAAAAAACATCAAATTGATCCTAGGATAAGCCGCAGCAGAAGCGGCAGGATGAGGAAACGAGAGAGAAGACATACGAGAGAGCTCGGAAATTGTCGTTGATCTCGCCGTGGATCTGCTCCATTTGAGAAGTCATCGGCAAGTTGGTGGCCATTTTTTGGTGTGGGGGGAAAAAGTCGGAGTGACGGAGAGAGAACTATAGCACACAGCGCCTTGGGATTTCAGATGGGCGTCGCTGCTGCTACCGGCCGCTGGCGCGGGATGGTGGCGGCGTTTCAGAAGGGGGGATTCAGTGAATTGAGTTGTTGGTGGAGGAGGCAGATCAGATGAAGATGAAGATGCAGAACAGAAAGATGCGCGATGCAGCAGTGATCTCTCTCTTCGGCCGTCCGACATACAAACAAACACACCGCAGGAAGCTAATCAGTAAGCAACCATTCTGCTGCTGCAGCTGTTTTCTGGGGCTCTCTGACTCAATCTCTGTACCATCATGGTTCAAAATATGTGCTCTGTGGGGTTGTGGGGCAGAAATGGAATGGATGATGCGCTGTAAACAGAACAGATCGTTTCCACGGAGTCGTCTTCCTTCTTTCTTTTCCTCTTCCTCGTTTCTTTCTTTTGGTAAATGCCACATTTATTGCTGGAATTACTAAATCATGTCATATTTTTTTTTTTTTTATGGTTAATCATGTCATATTTAGTCACTAGATAAAAGTAATATTAATTTTGATCACTCCAATTATAGAAACATGTCATATTTAGTCACTCTCCGTTAATCTCCATTCAAATTCGTTAACGGAGTTAGTTATGTGCTGATATGGCTAATGGTGGCACCTAATCAGCATCGTTTTAAGACGAAAATGGTCAAACCCGATCCGCCACGTCACTAGACCTGCCATGTCCCCACTCAACCCAACCGGATCAGAACCAACCCGAGTTCACTTAACAAAACAAAATTGGAAAACAGATCGGGTTAGTGACAATTTTCAGATCCGAAACCCTTTCTCCTTCCTCACGAAAACAAATCGGAAAACAGGTCGCGTTATTGTTCTTCTTCTTCTCCGTTGCGAGTTTTCCGATCTGTTTTCGCGAGGAAGGAGAAAGGGTTTCGGGTATGAAAATGACCACTAACCCGATCTGTTTTCCTATTTTGTTTTGTTAAGTGGGCTCGAGTTTGGTTCTGGGTCCAGTTGGGTTAATGGGTTGGGTTGGTGTATGACATGACAAGTTTAGTGGCGTTGTGGATCGGGTTTGACAATTTTCGACCCAAATCGATGCTGACTATGCGCTCCCGTTAGCCATATCAGCACATAACGGACTCTATTAACGGATTTGGACGGAGACTAACGGATAGTGACTAAATGTGACATGTTTTTGTAATTCGAGTGAACAAAATTGATATTAGTTTTTTCTAGTTACTAAACGTGACACGATTTAGTAATCGCAGTGACCAAATGTGGTAGTTACCCTTTCTTTTGGTTTTCATTTTTTGAGGAATTTCCGCTTTCACTTTTTCTGTTGCAGCGGTGTGGACTGTGGAGCCATGAAGGGCCAGGTTGGGCTTTGGCAGTCTTGGCCTCCTGGGGGAATTATGGCTTGGGGTTATTTAGTTGAGCCCAACCCATAATGGAGAATGTGTGCAAAGGTTATTTTTTTTAGGTAATGTATATTTTTTTATCCAAACCCCTTAAATGCTATTAATTAGCCAAATCTTTCGTAATGTATCATAATATTAATCATTTTTATGTTATTGTTAATAATTTTGTAACTCTTTTCGTAGTTAAATTACTAAAATTTTGGAATGTTGACCTTCATGTGTCTCTTCAAAGTCTGTTGCCAAGTGAATATTACTAACAAAATTGCTAACTAGAAGTTAACATTTGGCTAATTTTTAGTATTTTGATAGGTTTGGCTAATAAAAAAATCTTAAAATGATTTGGCTAATAAATAGTCATTACCTTTTTTCTCGATAATTCAAAGTTCAAACTTCAAAGGTTAGCATTTTCCTAGATATTCGCTAGATAATTTTTATAATTATTAATCAGAAAATTTAAGCTAATAATTAAATTATTTTTTAATGGAAAAATCAGAATTAGATGTGTGTAAAGGTTATTTTTTAGGTAATGTCTATTTTTTATCCAAATCTTTTTCAGATTCTTTATATTATCCAAACCTGTTAAATGCTATTAATTAGCCAAACCTTAGTAATGTATCATAATATTAGTCATTTTTATGTTATCGTTAATAATTTTGTAACTCTTTTCATAGTTAAATTACTAAAATTTTGGAATGTTGACCTTCATGTGCCTCTTCCAAGTCAGTATCATGTTGCCAAGTGAATATTACTAACAAAATTGCTAACTGAAAGTTAACATTTGGCTAATTCTTTGTATTTTGATAGGTTTGGCTAATAAGAAAGAATCTGAAAAAGGTTTGGCTAATAAATAGTCATTACCCTTTTTTTCTCGATAGTTCAAACTTCAAAGGTTAGCATTTTCCTAGATATTTGCCATATAATTTAAGCTAATAATTAAACCATTTTTGACTGGGAAAATCAGAATTAGAGTAATTTTGATTTGTTAGTGTTTTATGATATTAATTTATTTGTAAGCTTTTTAAACATGTTTTTTATCACCGAGGAACAACCCCACGTACACACTACATTTTGTGATGGCAAAGCGAGACCAAACTTGGGGGGCCACCTACTGTAATTTTATGCGCCAACATGGCTTCATCGCGAGCAGCCAGATGCCTCCGGGAACACCACTCGGGGCATAGAACCCAGTACCTCACACATCCAGGGACGACCTACCCGAGGCGGCACCGCTAAACTACAAGGATCATCGTTGTCGTTGGGGGATTGAACTCAGGACCTTGCCGGAGACGCTCCACCAGTTATGCTAGCCTTGTTTCGCGTTTTAGAACATAATTACACATATTGTGTTTAAACTAGATAAGTGCGCATACAGAGCAAAACATGTAAGGTTTAGCTCAACTTGTGTGGCAACACGCATAGTGAGAACTCGCGCGGCGACGCACATTCTAAGCGAAACAATATAAAGTTTAGGTAATCTCATGTTGCCACGCGCATATCGCACAAAACATTATATAGTTTAGCCCATCTCGCTCTGCCACACGAGTATATAAAGTGAAAACTTAAAAAAGTTTAGTTCAACATGTGTACCATCGCTCATGCTAAACGAAACTATAAAAAGTTTAGCTCAGTATATGCGCGTGTCCATGCTAATTGAGCTAAAATTCTCTTCTTTGTTTCTTTCGAGAAGCGAACAATCCTCTTCCCATGCCTTCTATTTGTTTTTCTTCTTCCTCAATCTCTCTGCCAAACCCTCCTCTTCCCCATTCTCTTTTCTGGCCAAATTCATTTCTCCGGTGACATGCAAGTTTAACTCAGCTCGCACGAACACACACAAATTGAGCGAACTTTCGAAAGTTTAACTCAACTCATGCGACTGCGAGCACTGAGTTTAACTTCGACAAGTTTCGCTCATCTTGCAAGGTCACGCGCATCTCATCTCCACAACACAATATTAGTGTAGATATATGTTTTAGAACATCATATTCATGGCAATTTCAAAAACAATTATCATATTTTGTAATTCTTCCACTTCCTACAAATAATATATGGAGTCTCTCATTAAGAACCCATCCAATTCAATTTTTCCAGGCCTATACACACTGTACGGAAGGGCTACCAGGTCTTTTACTCACTCGCCTATTTCTCTACTATTATTACTTTTCTTTTTTTTAAAGGCAATAAAATGCTAATTAAAATTCCTGCTCTAATGGTTGACAATAAGAAAAAATAGCCGAAGCTCCAATTCTTATGGCATCATAATTCCGATTTATTCCCTGTATCAATCACTCTACATTAGCAATGGCAATCGAGAGCATCATAATTCTGATTTATTCCCTACATCAATCACTCCCACCAATATTTTTTTTTAATAATTAGAGTACATTTATATATAATGTAGACAAACCAAGACGATAATTGGGGATATCATAATGGATTAGATTGATGAGAATACTCATGTCCGTCCCATATAGCTTAGAGGGTAGGTATTACCAACTTCAAAGCAAGTCAAATAGATCGGGTAAAATGGGCTACATCAAAATTGCCAGCTTTATCCGACATCATTTTAAATATACAAACACCATAGTTCCTTTCTTAATTATGAATATGTTTACAACATTTAGTTCTTAGAAGTGAAGGCTTCTAACTATAGTAAGTTTTGACCAATTGAACAAATTCTTGGTGGACTCATGATGAATAGCCCCTAATAAATTGTTCTCTATAAAGATAATTCACTATAAAATATAATTACAACAAAACATGCCTAGGGATAAATTTTCAAATACAACCGGTCGGATACCCAAAAGGGCCAAGACTCGGGAGCCCAACCAAGCAATCTAATCTCCAAACTCTACATGATGATGCTCCCCCATGACTTCCACTGCCGCTGGATCAACAAGCGACAACACCTCCACCAAAAGAGCCAAACGCGATGGAAAATGAGGCGTTGGAACACCCAATCCGGACCGAGGGAGGCAGAGACACCCACAACCACCTCCGACCAACCTTCACCAGACCAAACAACATCTACCCGACGAACAGAGCACCGAAAGAAAACAACGTGTTGAACGGACGATCGGTGACGGCGCCATGTGAATGATCTTCTGTCTCCAAAATCTTCAAGCTGAGTCCAATGATTTAGCCACTAAATATGGTTTTATCTCAAATACTATTAAGATTGTGCATATTAATTTCACGTAAGACATGTAACTTCTTTAGTTGTAAGAGTTATATTGTAGGAAAATAATTGTTGTACTGATTGTTGTTATTATAACCTAATTAGAATTGGTTACACGGGTTTATGCAAGGTAGTGAAGGGAGTACAAAAAGACGCACAATTAGAAAGTGAATGGCAAGCAATGTTGCAAAGGTGGAGGGGTTTTAGGCATATGTAATTATACTTTTTAATTGAATAGTGAGTTCCAATCTAACTTGACATTGTGAAGAATTTTTTTGAATATATTTTATTTTATAGTTTTAAAGTATGAAGGATTAAGATTTTTTGGAGTTGTATGATGCTGAGAAACTATTTCAAAATAGTGGCAAGAGGACATGCTCCTTCCCTTCTCCAACTTTTTTTTACTAAAGATAATCATGCATATTGATTGAAGAAATAGATAATTACATCCATGACTGTAACCAGGCCAGAAAATCAAGGAAATGACATGAAGACGGGTACAAAGACAGGGCCTTCCTAGCCACCCTATGGGCTACCCTATTACTACTCCGTCCGACAAATCGTACATTAAGCCCATTATGGGGCGTCAAACATCGAACAACCTCCTCAAGAATGGTCCCAATCCGACTATCTCGAGTATCCCTCTGATTGACTTTATCAATGATCAGCTTCGCATCCCCCTCCAAATATGCCTCCCTAAAGCCATACTCTAAACACCAGAGAATTGCTTCTCGGAGAACCAAGAGCTCGACCACGATGGGATCGTCAACATACTTGAAATGCACACCTTTCGCCAGTAGAATCTGCCCAACTTGATTTTTGAT